GTTTGGTACGTGGGACGGGACGGAACAGAGTGGGACAAGGCGTTCCGTCCCACGTTTGGTGCGCCTAAAACGGGTGGAACGAGCTGTTCCACGGGACAAATTTTGGGTGAATTTTCGTTCCACCTCACCCTCCTGGAACGACTCGTTCCACATCTGTGGAACACAAAATTATAACCTCTCCGTCTCCTTCTTCTTCCTCCTTGTTTCCATCCAAGGGCATCTTTGCTCCCGCTCCGATCCATTCTGTCCCGTCCCGTCCCGTCCAGTCCCATTTCGTTCCGTCCCGTCCTGTCTGCATACCAAACGATACCTTAAGGACCCATCCGAAGCTAAGTCAAGAAATGGAAATAGCCCGGAACAACAGTGAAGATGACTGTGTTGAAGTGAAAGTCTTAGATACTAATGTGCTTGATAAAAAAATCAATTCATCGCAATTGAAGTTGGGATCTGCACAGGTACCGTATGTTGCTTAGTTCTCCATGTATATTAATTCCAGTGAACCCCCTCCCACTTTTGCTTTTCTTACGCTTCTTTTTTTCCCGTCTAGTTAATATCTTTGTATGGTTCTTGCTGATCAAGTCCTTGTGTATCCCTCACACTTCGTCTACTGTCGCTTGGGAGTTCTCTCATGGCCATGCTTGTGCCTACCCTTTTGCAATTCTGTAAAACAAGGGGTGCTAACCGAACACAGGACAAGCCAATTTCTGATACATGGGGAAAACAGAACTCTCTAGCGACTGTGTCAAAAGAAACCGATTCTACCAGTGTTGCAACTAAGATTCAGGAACAACGAAAAGCCAGCATACCTGATCACCAAGAAGTAAAGATTCCAGATTTTAATAAGGCTAGTACTAGTACTGCCCGGGTATGTATCCCGTCAAGAGTTGAAAGCGCCGTGGACCAGCTTTATTCTCGAATGGGCAGAATTGAGGATCTGTTTTTGAGGTTTGAAGAAAAGATGCTAAAACCGATAAGCAGCATTGAGGCAAGGCTTGAAAGGGTAGAGCAGCAACTTGAAGTACTGGCGAACAAATCACAGAATTCTGAATTGCCAACATGCGCAAGATTCTATGCTTCTTCTTTCTCATGCAATGAGTCTGAGTCTAACTCTTGCTATAATAGTGGAAATGATTATCACCGTTGCGAGGCATTTGAATCAGGTGAGAAGGACATTCAACCAGATGCACCCCCGACCACAGCTTATGAAATGTCTGCTTCGGTAAATTCCACCCATTTGCTTCCAAGTCTGGTAGTAACTGCTACTGAATTTTTAAATGGTGATGATGACGATGACGAAGAAGATCACGGATCAGATGTTGTGATAGGTTCATCAGAAAAACCAAGGCCTGCTTGGACAATAGATGATGCTTTAGCATCTGCACTAGCTGGCATGTCTTTGACTTCAACCCAGCCAGAGAAACATGCTCAAACTCTTTCGGATAAAGCTCCTGATTTTTTAATTGAAGAAGACGGTAGCGTTGAGAGAAAGGGATCGACAAGAGAGGAACATGAAGTAGGCACGGATTCTTCCATGTGCCTTGGTGAAACTGATGCGACAGAGAACATAAATGTTGGAATATAAGTTTTTGTGCTAGAGAAATATTAGTTTAAGTCTTAGTATTTCAAGTTTAAATGTGCTATTGGATTATATTCTAATTGGACAGCTGAGATGTAATCTTAGTGTTAGTAATGTGTATTGCCACTTGTAGCTATCTTATAGGATAGATTACATGAATGGTAGAGATTGAACTTTGTGAGAGAGAATCCCTCTTTCTTCCCAACGGTATTACTCTCGCCCATGTCTTGTGTGCTGAGTGAAAAAAGATGAATGAAAGTATCCTTCTGTGAATATTCTTTCTGCAACTCTCTGAGATTTCTCCACAAACCTTCATCTTTATTTTTGATTCATTCCTTACAATAGAGATCATAGTCTCTAGATTCTAACATGGCCTTAGAGCCTGGTTTGGTCGCTTAACATTGGGCAATTAAATCTGTGAAGGAATTTGAAGAAATTGCTTGTGAGATCTGTGTCTAACATGGCAGGGTCTGGAGGTGGTGAGTGGAGAGCACCGATCTTCAATGGCGAGAATTATGAGTTCTGGAGCATAAGGATGAAGACTATCTTCAAGTCTCATGGATTATGGGAGTTTGTTGAGAAAGGAGTAGAGTGCTCAAATTCGAAGGGAGCTGATGAATCTAATGCAAAGAAGAAGGAGAAGGAGGAATCGAGTGATGCTGCAACTCTCACAGAGAAGCTTATGAAAGATGCCAAGGTGTTGGGGCTGATTCAAGGAGCAGTTTCCGATGAGATTTTCCCTTGGATCTCTCATGAAGAAACTCTAAGGGAGCTTGGGATATCTCGATACAAGAATTCCTTGGCAACAAACATGTTAGAAGTGTCAAATTATAAGGTATTCGTAGAGAATTCGAACATACCAGAATGAGAGATGATGAGTCTTTGCCTATTCATCTTACAAAATTGTTTGATCTGATAAATCAAATGAGAAGTTATGGAGAGGAATTGTCTAGAGAGAGAATTATGCAGAAAAATGTTGATTAGTTTACCTTCTGCATATGATCCTATATGCTCTGTGATTGAACACTTAAGGGATATATATGTGATTGAGGTTCAAGAGGTGGTTGCCTCATTGAAAAGTTTTGCACAAAGATTGGAGAGACATAATGAGAACAAGACTGAGAGAGCATTTGCAAGTCTAAGCGTGAATTCTAAACCTGCCAATTCTTTTGGAAATCAAGGCCATGGATACCAGAAGAATTGGAAACCAAAATTTAAAAAGTGGGATCAAAAGCCTACTTACCAATCTGGGAAGCAAATTGCAGCTGTAGAAGGTGGAAGAAACCCTTGCAGGCACTGTGATAAGTACCATTATGGAGAATGTTTTCTTAAAGGCAAACCTAAGTGTCACAGTTATGGGAAAATATGGCATATTGCAAGGGACTGCAACAACAAGAAAAATGTTCAGCAACTAAACTTTGCAACTCAAGTCCTTCCTACACCAACCATGTTCTATGCAAATAATGCGGTTGACAAGAAGTTTATTGAAGATGTATGGTATGTGTGGTATGTGGACAGTGGTTGTAGTAACCACATGACTAGTAGAGAAGATGTACTAGTTGATATTGATAGAAGCATAATTGCAAAAGTAGAAATGGGGATAGGGTAATTGGTTGAAGTTATTGGAAAATGAAGTCTGGTGATGGACATTAAGATGGGAATGAGGTATATCAACGAAGTAATGCTTGTCTCTGGTCTTAAGGAGAATCTACTAAGTGTAGAGCAGATGATGGAGCATGGATACTTTTTGATTTTTGGAGATAATAAGGTTGGAATTTATGATGACTGCTCTCTTTAATCTAGTTGCTAAGGTGCCAGTGAAAGGAAACAGAAGTTTTCCTTTGAAACTTCAAACAAATTTACATTTTGCATTAAGGGCAAGTTTGAGTAAGTCAACCTTGATCTGGCATAAGAGAATGACATCTGAATGTCAATAGTTTGAAGTTGCTACATGAGAAAGAAATGGTACTTGGATTGCCAGAAATCAAGAACACCAATGAAGTGTGTGAGGGGTGCATTCTTGGGAAACAATGCAGAGATTCTTTTCCAAGAGAGACAACAAGTAGGGCCACTATTCCGCTGGAATTGGTACACATTGATGTTTGTGGACCAATGCAAACTGTTACAAAGGCTGGAAATAGGTACTTCCTCACCTTCATAGATGATTGCACTCAGATGTGTTGGGTTTACTTCTTAAGATACAAATATGAGGTGTTCAATGTCTTTAAGAAGTTTAAGGCTACTGTTGAATTGCAATGTGGGTATAAGTTGAAGAAACTAAGAAGTGACAGAGGATGAGAGTACACATCTATGGAGTTTAACAAGTTTTGTGAAGAAATGGGAATAGAAAGATAGCTTGCTGTGGCATACTCACCACAACAGAATAGAGTGGCTGAAAGAAAGAACATGATCATTGTGGAGATGGCTAAGTGTATGATGTTTAAGAAGAAGATACCACTGGAGTTTTGGGCTGAAGCAGTGAACACTGCAGTATATGTCTTAAACAGGTGTCCAACTAAAGCCTTGGACAAGAAAACTCCATTTGAAGCTTATAGTGGAAGAGAGCCAGGAATTAAGCATTTGAGAGTGTTTGGTTCTTTGGGCTATGCACATATTCCAGAACAACAGAGACAAAAGTTTGATTCATCTAGCACAAGATGTGTATTTCTGGGGTATAAAACTTGTGAGAAAGGCTACAAACTATATAACATTGAATAAAAAAGTTGTAATTTCTGGAGATGTAGTGTTCAATGAGGAAGCAAGTTGGGATTGGAGTGCACAAAAAGAATTTAGTGTTTTAGTTCCACTTACTGATATACTTACTAAGAAAGAAAATGAGACTAGTGAATTAAGTTTGACTCAAGCTGAGATTACAGAAGGTGATAATGAGACACCAGAAAATATTGAAGAAGCACATGATGGAATTGGTGTTGCATGACATAGTGAAAGTTCAAGTCCACAGGATTTCAATCACTCTCCATTAAAATATAAAAGCATTGCATAAGTGTATGAAAGATGCAATATGTGTATCATTGAGGCTGAAACATTTGAAGAAACTGCCAAAGATGAATCATAGCAGAAAACAATGGAGAAAGGAAATTGCAATGATAGAGAAGAACAATACTTGGGAGTTGGTTAGTAGACCATCTGATAAGCCAGTAATTCGTGTCAAATGGGTTTACAAAACCAAGTTGAACCTCGATGGCTCAGTGCAAAAAAACAAAGCAAGACTGGTTGCAAAGGTTTACTCTTAAAAGCCTGGAATAAACCTTTGCACCAGTTGCTAGGCTTGACACAATTAGAACACTGGTTGCATTGGTTGCACATAAAAGGTGGAGATTATTTCAATTAGATGTGAAGTCAACATTTTTTAATGTAGAGTTGCATGAAGAGGTATATGTTGATCAACCCCCTGGATTTGTGATTAAGAATAAGGAAGATGGAGTTTACACACTTAAGAAGGCATTATATCGTCTTAAGCAAGCTCCAAGAGCTTGGTATGAAGAAATCAACTCATATTTCACTAAGGTTGGTTTTCAAAGAAGTCCAAGTGAAGCAACATTATATGTGAAGACTGTTGAAAGTAGAGTACTCATTGTTTCTCTATATGTGGATGATATCATCTACACTGGGAGTTCACAAGAATTGATGATGGAGTTCAAAACTGAGATGATAAGATAGTATGAAATGACTGATCTCAGGTTGTTACATCATTTCTTAGGTTTAGGTGTGATACAAACTGATTCTTACATCTTCTTGCACCAGAAGAAGTATGCAAAGACACTGCTAGATAAGTTTGGTTTCAAAGATTGTAAATTAGTTGCTACCCTTCTTGCAGTGAATGAAAAACTATCTAAGATGGATGGAAGTGAACAAGCTGATGAAAATCTATATAGACAGATAGTTTGGAGTCTGCTATATTTGACTGTTACAAGGCCAAACATCATGTTTGCAGCAAGTCTGTTAGCTAGATTTATGCATGGTCCTACCAGAAAACATATGGGAACTACCAAGAGAGTATAACATATGATTTATTCAAGGCTCAATTGATTATGGTATAGCATATGAGAAAGGGAAGGAAGCAATGCTTATTAGCTACTGTGATAATAATTGGTCAGCGAGTGAGGATGACATGAAAAGCACATTTGGATATGCATTTAACCTTGGTTCAGGTGTATTTTCATGGGCATCAATCAAGCAAAGCAATGTTGCATTATCCACTGCAGAGGCTAAATAAGTCAGTACAGCGGAAGCCGCTACACAAGCAATCTGGTTGAGATTTGTTCTCTCAGATTTTGGTGAAGAACAGGTTGAGCCTAAAACAATTCTATGTGATAATACATCTGCTATAGCCATAACCAAGAATCTTGTGCATTATCATAAGACAAGGCATATAAACAGACGATATCATTTCATTCGAGATGCATTACAGATAGGGAAATTGATCTACTGTACTACAACACTGAGGAGCAAGTTGCAAACATTCTTACCAAAGCATTGGCCAGATGACACGCCCCGACCCTGATATTGTTTGAATACCAGGATAGACACGTGATGGCCGACACCCGAGGGTGACGAAAGCCATTAATGGATACAAAAGCTAAGAATGCGAAATAAATAAGGGTTATGAATTGAAATACAATGAATTAACAACTTAGGAACGTGTTCAGAGCATACAGCTAATTAGAACACTAAAAGAAATAATATAAAATTGAATGAATAAAGGAGTGGGTCCTACACCAGGACGGCTCGAAGATGCTAATGTTGAAGTGCCTTGATGCCGGGATTGTATGCCTCAATTCTAAGACCTAAATGGGGGCGCAAAACAAAGGTGAGTGGACCAAGTTTATATATATAATAATAATAAAACAGTTATTAAGATACTAACCCCTACAGTTTATATAAAGAAAACCACTAGCATAATATGTGATAGGTTTATTGAAAACCCTAGCATGCCAAAAACATCTCAAAAGACATATCGCGGAAAAACATCGCAGAAATCAAAATATCAATCGTCTCACATATCGTCTCGTAAGCACGATGTGCTGCTAGTAAGATCACTGAATAAATATAACTCCCGGCCCTATGCTAGCACCGTGGTCTCTGCGCCCGTAGCCAGAGATTACCAACTCCCGGCCCAATGCCTGCTCCGTGTCCCTCAGCCCGTAGCTAGGGATTATTTCTCCTTGCCTAACTGCCAACACCAGATCCTCATCCCAGGCAGCATAGTGTCCTCTAGGTACGCACAAATAGTTACGCCTCTCAAAAATAACCACTTCATAATATAAAGGCATCCATCGTCTATACTATAAAGAGGGGTTTCTAAAACATGTTCTAGCATTCTATCGTTATCCATCAAATAGTCTACCAGTTCATGGTTTTTATAGAAAATACGATATATTAAAATATAGCTCAATATAAGCCAACAATTAATTCCTTACAAAGTAACGAGACGAAAATCAACGTTTCAATAAACATGCTTAACATAAAATCAATCCATAAACTCGTAAGGCATGCTTTTCATTTATGCAGTTAAACTATGAAATCATCTAATTTTAGAAAGGGTCCACTTACAGATACTCCGTAGCAGCAGAGTTGTGCGGAAAAGGATTAAGGAAATCCTCACTAGCAAGTTCACCTAAGCACAAAAATGTACAATTTATCAAACTATGCCCAAACGATAGAATCCCAGGAAATGGACGCCAAAAACGGATTCGGAACATTGAAATTGGCCTAGGAGAGATTTTGGGTTTTCGGGTCCTAAGATTTTTGGTTAAAAAGGGTTAAGGTGAAAAGGGGTGGTTTGGGCCTTAAACCCAAACCCACACAAACATACACACACACACACAGAGTCCACATACACACGCACACACTCACGCATTGCACAGCCCAAAGGCCTCACACACGGGGCCGGGCTTTAAGCTATTTCTAAATAAAAACGGCCCAAGGCTCTTTGGGTCATTAAAATAAATAACAAAAATTAATTTAAAAGACAGAATGGGTTGGGTTTGGTCTACGGGCCCAAGGCCCGTGGGTGTTCTAAACAGCCTACATGCTAACGGAAACAAACGGAGAAGAACGCCGGAGCTTCTACAGCTCCGACCGACTGCAAAGGTATACCTTAGGCTCCGATCTAGGTACCAAAATGAAGTACTAGACGAAAGGAGTGTTTTTATACCTTTGGTTCGCCGTGGAACGACCTAAGATAGACGAAAAGCTCCTCGACACTCACGGGCCCGCCGGAGTTGGGTGAGTTTTCTCCCAAGTTGATCTTGCTCTAAAAACCTTGGAAATGATGAAATAAAACTCATTAAAACTCATCCACACCTCCTCTAAAAAGATCAGAGAGAAAACCAAGGCTTACCTAACCGGAACAATAAGAAAATATCGCCGGAATGCTCCTGGGTTTCGCTGTTCTTCGCATGCGACAAGAGATAGAGAGAAAGACGGCAGGATGATGATGATGATGACGACACTGTTGACGCCAGGGAGGGTGGTGTGGTGATGGATGAACACGGTTGTGGGTCGTGGGGTGAGAGGGTTTCGAGAGATATGGGAGAGTGCAGAGAGTTGAAAGAAATAAAAAAATGAAGTATACGGGATAGGGAA